GTGTATATACACTATCTGTGGGAGATGAGAGGGAGAAAAAGGGTGTGTGGAGGCGTTGAATTTTGTTCTTCCCTCACGGCAGGTACAGAGTCGTCAGATGCACCTGCTGGGGTGTGTGGGCCTGGGTCAGGAGCAGGGGCTGCGTCAGCAGAAGCGGATGAGAGCTCGTGACAGCAGCTGGGTCCACGACAGCAGCAGGGTGCAGGACATTAGCAGGGAGTACCTGAAGGAGAAAAGAGGGGTGTGTGGGTCCGCACTCAGGAACAGAGGCCGCAGGGGTTACTGCTGGGCCGGGGTCGGCGCTGAGGCAGGACGGGTGTGCTGGGGTCGGAAGAGGAGCGACTGTCTGCTTAGAGTAGCAGAGCTGCTCTAGGGTGTCTGACCTGTGGTGTAGAGACAGTAGCTGTAGAGCCGATGAGAGCTGCTTCTGGGTGGATAAGCCAGTCTTCCATGTTGCTTGAAGACTGGGAGCGTGGTCAGTTTCTCCTCCATCCTGTGGGAGTGCGAATCTCCGGGAGTCACCATTTGTGGGGTATGAGATTGTTTGGTTCACACTCAGGATGGAATGGAGAAAGGAAACTCACGATGTGCTCTCTATATACATGTTGTATTGGATGTACAATGCAGCTTGGTGCTGGGAAGGCAGCATGGTTACAAGCGTGATGTAGAGAGAGCTGGTTGGTGAGGACGCTCAGAGAAGGACAGCTTGTGGGTCGCCATGCTCGCCAGCGGGAGAGAGGACCGCCAGGCAGGCGGAAGAGCAAGGACCGCCAGGCAGGAGGAGGTGTTGCTGGCCGGTTGGTGTAGGTAGAGAGAGAGATCACCACGAGGTCAGGTCTTAAATAGCGGGGGTTGGCGTGGCTTAGTAGTTGACCCCCGCTCCGTGATGTATGGCGGCGCTGGTTGACCCAGACCACGAGGCATACACTGGGGAATTGGTGGGGTCGGCTAGGCAGCGACAAACAGCGTTTGTAGGGGAGAATTCCACTACACTATACTTAACTCACACTGCTATACTAAGCTCATACTGCTAGACTAAACTCACACTGCTAGACTAAACTCACTGCTAGACTAAACTCACACTGCTAGACTAAACTCACACTGCTAGACTAAACTCACACTGCTATACTAAACTCACACTGCTATACTAAACTCACACTGCTATACTAAACTCATACTGCTAGACTAAACTCACATTGCTAGACTAAACTCACACTGCTAGACTAAACTCACACTGCTATACTAAACTCATACTGCTAGACTAAACTCACACTGCTAGACTAAACTCACACTGCTAGACTAAAACTCACACTGCTAGACTAAACTCACACTGCTAGACTAAACTCACACTGCTAGACTAAACTCACACTGCTAGACTAAACTCACACTGCTAGACTAAACTCACACTGCTAGACTAAACTCACACTGCTAACTAACACTGCTCTAAACTCATACTGCTAGACTAAACTCACACTGCTAGACTAAACTCTCACTGCTAGACTAAACTCACACTGCTAGACTTCTTTGCCAGCTCCCCAAAGAACAACTACACATACTGTCCTGCGGTCTGGTGGCAGCGACCCTAAGTTAAGAAGTAAACCCTAGTATTAAGTGACCAATTAAAGGGCAGTATAACTGTATACACTTGGCCATGATGTTCCCCAAACATAAATATCTTACAGAATGAGATATAAGTATTTAAACTATTGCTGAATACTTTATTACAACCCCAATATTGTAGAACATGTGTACAACAGGACATGATAGTGAGAGGTACTCAAACACCCTTCTCAGGTGTGTCTCAGGCCAACAGGACATGATAGTGAGAGGTACTCAAACACCCTTCTCAGGTGTGTCTCAGGCCAACAGGACATGATAGTGAGAGGTACTCAAACACTCTTCTCAGGTGTGTCTCAGGCCAACAGGACATGATAGTGAGAGGTACTCAAACACTCTTCTCAGGTGTGTCTCAGGCCAACAGGACATGATAGTGAGAGGTACTCAAACACCCTTCTCAGGTGTGTCTCAGGCCAACAGGACATGATAGTGAGAGGTACTCAAACACCCTTCTCAGGTGTGTCTCAGGCCAACAGGACATGATAGTGATAGTGAGAAGTACTCAAACACCCTTCTCAGGTGTGTCTCAGGCCAACAGGACATGATAGTGAGAGGTACTCAAACACCCTTCTCAGGTGTGTCTCAGGCCAACAGGACATGATAGTGAGAGGTACTCAAACACCCTTCTCAGGTGTGACTCAGGCCAACAGGACATGATAGTGAGAGGTACTCAAACACCCTTCTCAGGTGTGTCTCAGGCCAACAGGACATGATAGTGAGAGGTACTCAAACACCCTTCTCAGGTGTGTCTCAGGCCAACAGGACATAATAGTGAAAGGTACTCAAACACCCTTCTCAGGTGTGTCTCAGGCCAACAGGACATGATAGTGAGAGGTACTCAAACACCCTTCTCAGGTGTGTCTCAGGCCAACAGGACATAATAGTGAAAGGTACTCAAACACCCTTCTCAGCTGTGTCTCAGGCCAACAGGACATAATAGTGAAAGGTACTCAAACACCCTTCTCAGGTGTGTCTCAGGCCAATCGGACATGATAGTGAGAGGTACTCAAAACACCCTTCTCAGGTGTGTCTGAGGCCAACAGGACATAATAGTGAAAGGTACTCAAACACCGTTCTCAGCTGTGTCTCAGGCCAACAGGACATGACAGTCTTCTCCAACCCTTGACAGCCCCAACCCTTAATAGTCCTCCCCAACCTAATAGTCCTCCCAACCCTTATAGTCTTCCCCAACCCTTGATAGTCTTCCAACCCTTGATAGTCTTCCCCAACCTTAATAGTCTTCCCAACCCTTGATAGTCCTCCCCAACCTTGATAGTCTTCCCCAACCCTTAATAGTCTTCCCCAACCCTGATAGTCTTCCCCAACCCTTGATAGTCTTCCCCAACCTTAATAGTCTTCCAACCCTTGATAGTCTTCCCAACCCTTATAGTCTTCCCCAACCCTTGATAGTCTTCCCAATCATTAATAGTCTTCTCCAACCGTTGATAGTCTTCCCCAACCCTTGATAGTCTTCCCCAACCTTGATAGTCTTCCCCAACCATTAATAGTCTTCTCCAACCCTTGATAGTCTTCCCAACCCTTGATAGTCTTCCCCAACCATTAATAGTCCTCCCCAACCCTTAATAGTCCTCCCCAACCTAATAGTCTTCCCCAACCCCTGATAGTCTTCCCCAACTTAATAGTCTTTAACCCTTGATAGTCCTCCCCAACCCTTGATAGTCTTCCCAACCCTTAATAGTCTTCCCCAACCCTTGATAGTCTTCCCCAACCCTTGATAGTCTTCCCCAACCCTTAATAGTCTTCCCCAACCCTTGATAGTCTTCCCCAACCTAATAGTCTTCCCCAACCCTTGATAGTCTTCCCCAATCATTAATAGTCTTCTCCAACCGTTGATAGTCTTCCCCAACCCTTGATAGTCTTCCCAACCCTGATAGTCTTCCCAACCTTAATAGTCTTCCCCAACCTTGATAGTCTTCCCCAACCCTTGATAGTCTTCCCCAACCCTTAATAGTCTTCTAACATGATAGTCTTCCCCAACCCTTAATAGTCTTCCCCAACCCTTGATAGTCTTCCCCAATCATTAATGTCTTCTCAACCGTTGATAGTCTTCCCCAACCCTTGATAGTCTTCCCCAACCCTTGATAGTCTTCCCCAACCCTTGATAGTCTTCCCCAACCTTAATAGTCCTCCCCAACCCTTAATAGTCCTCCCCAACACCCAATAGTCCTCCCTAGCCCTCAATACCCTTCCCCAACCCTTGATAGTCTTCCCCAAGTCTTGATAGTCTTCCCCAACCCTTGATAGTCTTCCCCAACCCATGATAGTCTTCCCAACCCTTGATAGTCTTCCCCAACCCTTAATAGTCCTCCCCAACCCTTGATAGTCTTCCCCAACCCTTAATAGTCCTCCCCAACCCTTAATAGTCCTCCCCAACCCTTGATAGTCTTCCCCAACCCTTAATAGTCCTCCCCAACCCTTGATAGTCTTCCCCAACCATTAATAGTCTTCTCCAACCGTTGATAGTCTTCCCCAACCCTTGATAGTCTTCTCCAACCCTTGATAGTCTTCCCCAACCCTTGATAGTCTTCTCCAACCCTTGATAGTCTTCCCCAACCCTTGATAGTCTTCTCCAACCCTTGATAGTCTTCTCCAACCCTTGATAGTCTTCTCCAACCCTTGATAGTCTTCACCAACCCTTGATAGTCTTCCCCAACCATTAATAAAGGTCTTCTCCAACCCTTGATATTTGATAGTCTTCCCCAACCCTTGATAGTCTTCCCCAACCCTTAATAGTCTTCCCCAACCCTTAATAGTCTTCCCCAACCCTTGATAGTCTTCCCCAACCCTTGATAGTCTTCCCCAACCCTTAATAGTCTTCCCCAACCCTTGATAGTCTTCCCCAACCCTTGATAGTCTTCCCCAACCATTAATAGTCTTCTCCAACCCTTGATAGTCTTCCCCAACCATTAATAGTCTTCTCCAACCGTTGATAGTCTTCCCCAACCCTTGATAGTCTTCCCCAACCATTAATAGTCCTCCCCAGTCTAAAATAGTCCTTCCCCAAGTAGCCCTCCTTCCTCAGTCATTTTGATTTGATTTGTAACAGTTTATTTGGCCAGACAAACACAGATACAGTGGATAATAATAACAATATTAACATGGCTGAGTCAGTTGAGAACCTGAGCTCTCTTTAAGGCCCCTGATATATACTATACATTTATCTCAAGGAAGTATTATGGAACATTTAGTATCATCTGGAATAGTACAATAGCATGGTGGTAATAAGAACATCTCATAGTGTTATACATATATATATTTATACATACATATATATATATATATATATATATATATATATATATATATATATATATATATATATATATATATATATATATATATATATATATATATATATATATATATATATTAGAGTGGAATTTAAAAACCTAAGTATAATGGGGGAGCAGTACATCCTGGGTCGTACAGTAATATGGTTGAACATGAGGACAGAGCTGTCAGGATTATGTCTAGTTGGCAATTATGTTTATTGCCATGGTAATTACTTATTTATTTACATGATAATTTCCGATAAAACGGATTTGGTGGTACAATAAAAGCAGGTACTGTAAATATAGTAGGTGTTACAAGAAATATTAATACTTAGACAATAGATATTTTGTTAGAGATGATCTAAAGGAAGGGAGCCTAGTCTTTGCTGGGGTGGGTGGGGGCAAGTTGTTCCACACCTTCACACCGTGATGTTTTATGGAGGTCTGGGACTGAGAGGAGCGCATGGGGGGTGGTCTTAGTAGCTCTGGGGGCCTTAAGTTGTATCTCTGATTATTCCGGAACTGGAAGTAATTATTGTCAAGCAAGTTATTGATAGATTTCTTTCATTGCTGTGAGAGTGAGTGACTGTCGACTGTGATACATGATACGTCACTGTTCATTGATTTTACTGTGAATGGCTTGTATGTGGTTTCTCCAGTTAAGTTTCTCATCAACAAAATTTTCCGAGGAATTTAGTATTATTATTACGTGTTCATGGTAATCAATAATGGGGAAATTTAATAATTATTATTTTAAAGGAATAGGTTAGTTACTCCTGCATATATTTATAATAGAGGAAGACACATTTTCTTTAATACCAAGTTATGTAGATCAAAGAAAACGGAAATACTTGTATTCCTTCACACGGAAACTGATAGAAATAAAGAATGAAAGAAAGCGAGAGAAAGAGAGATATTGAGATAGATATATAAATAGAGAGCGAGAAGACAGAGAAAGACAGAAAGATAGATAGATAGTTAGAGAGAGAGATAAAGAATCCAAGAGAAACAATAATAGAACTCTTGTGCTCACCAGGGACCTTCTGTGTGTTAGACCCACTACACCATGAGCACTTGGTACCCTTAAGTGATGACGTCATAAATCAGCAACTTTCTCTTGTCACTTTCACCAACAACAATAATAATAATAATAACAATAATAATAATAACAACTCACCTACAGGTATTTCTTGTAGTAAATCATTCAGGCTAAACAATGACAATTATTACAAATGAGATTGCCAACTCGACTGTGATATTGGCTAATGATAAACTTGTACCTGTGCATGTAGTACCTGGGCTTGTACCTGTGCATGTAGTACCTGGGCTTGTACCTGTGCATGTAGTACCTGGGCTTGTACCTGTGCATGTAGTACCTGGGCTTGTACCTGTGCATGTAGTACCTGGGCTTGTACCTGTGCATGTAGTACCTGGGCTTGTACCTGTGCATGTAGCACCTGGGCTTGTACCTGTAATATAGAAGTAGAATTTATTGTAGGTGTAGGCTGTAGTTAAGGTGGAGTCATTAGTTGTGGTAATTAAACTTGTGGAGTAATTAAGAAAGAGAGAGACACAAACAAACGCTTACCATATAGATCCGGTTGGTAACAGCCTCGCCATAAGACAGTCGAATTGCTTGTTACGATCAAACTATGTAACGACCCTTGACCCAGGAGTAATTGGTGTTGAGGATTGATAAACAGCTGGGCTCTTGTCGTGTTGTGGTGGTTCTGTGGTGAGAGAGAGAGAGGTACACATACTGTACATACATACATACATACATACATACATACATACATACATCCACATATAAATTAAACACCAAAGAATTTTATATCAATCATAACTTATTTACAACAAACTCACCTGTGATCTGATTGTAGCCATGTGAAAGACCTGATTACCTGAGATCTTATAAATTAACTTCTGAGTGGTGAGGAAATGTTCTGAGTGATTCTTATAATACCATATATGTAGATTAGTTACTGCCTCACTTTCCTGCCCTCGAAAGTACAGGTAAGTAGGTACTGGCGCTTCAAATTGGTGTCCTGACCAGGTATCATCCACTCCTGTTGTCACCCACTTGGAGCAGTCTGTTGGAAGTGTTTTAATTGGTGAGAAATTGAGTTAGGTTTGGTTAGGTTAGGTTTGGTTAGGTTTGGTTTGGTTTGGTTAGGTTTGGTTAGGTTAGGTTTGGTTAGGTTTGGTTAGGTTTGGTTAGGTTAGTTTTGGTTAGGTTAGGTTAGGTTTGGTTAGGTTTGGTTTGGTTTGGTTTGGTTAGGTTAGGTTAGGTTAGGTTAGGTTTGGTTTGGTTTGGTTTGGTTTGGTTAGGTTTGGTTTGGTTAGGTTAGGTTAGGTTAGGTTTCTGTGGGTTGGTAGATGGGTGTTTGTGTGCGTATATGTATGTATGTATGTCTATGTATGTACGTATGTATGTATGTATGTATATCAACAAATACTTACTATGCTCAGCAGATGCGGTGTATGAAACACTTAATAAACAGAGTATTTTCACCACTACAACCACCTCCATCCTACAACCACAACTACCACCACTACTACTACCACAATCCGACCTCTTTACTGCCTCTGTCACAACTACTGTATGATGGTAAAACACACACACACACACACATACACACACACACACACACGTCTTGCTTCATAGGTTTTCCCAGTTGCTGCCTCTCTCTCTCTCTCTCTCTCTCTCTCTCTCTCTGTATATTTCCAAGGTTGGTTTAGGTTAGGTTAGGATTACGTTAGGTTAGGTTAGAATAGTATTAGTAATTATACCATTTTCTAAGAATTATAGACCTTGGAGACCTAATTTAAGTGCTCATGGTGTAGTGGGTCTAACACACAGAAGGTCCCAGGTTCGAGCCCTGGTGAGCGCACGAGTTTTATCATTGTTTCTTTCTGTCATTCTAT